TTCAAATGAAGTTTAACACACAGCAGCCTTGCAGGCTCAAGCTCTGCGTTTATGCACAGCAGGGAGCAGAGGCCTTCTTCAGTCACATTTCTCAGTGCTCTTTCATCTTGAATCAAGAGTCCAATCCAGAGGGCAGTTTGGACTCCATGGCATCCACTGAAAATGCAAGTATACCCAAGGCTCAACGGTGCATTTCACAAAAGCTACTACAGAGCCATTGTATGGCAGGAAAGCCACGGGAATTCATCATTATGGGCTGCCCAGTGAGAGAAGAAACTGGCTCTGAGAAAGGACGGAGGCAACAGAAAGAAGGAGAGAGGAAGAGGAAAGAATTTGATTGGAAGTGGGAGCTAAGCAAAAGAAATCACCACCACAGGAGCGCTTGGAAAATACCAAGATTATCTGCAGAAAAGTGCTACTCCACTGCTAATGTTGTGTAATGCAAACACAAGTTCTTCCTTTCCTCCTCCTACTCAGCACAGGGTGGAGCAGGGGCAAAAGGCCACATGGGAAATACACACAACTAAATGACAGCTAAAATCAAAGCAAACACAATGATTTTAAGGAACATAAACTTTACAAGACCAGTTCATGTGATTTTTTTTTTTTTTTAATGATACTAAGGGCTTGTTTAGTTGGCAAAAAACCAGAATGGCTAGAAACTTCAACACAAGTCAGACAGCTACATTTGAAACTATCTCAGCAGCATGCAGTCATCCATAAACAGCCAAACAATCAAATTTGTCAAAGCTCAACTTTTATGGGGGGAATGTGGTCTAGTTCTAGCCTCTGGACCAAGTCTGTTGTAATTTAATGCTGAACAGTCTAACCAAGTTCACTTGCATAAAAAGTAGCTTATTTATTTGAAGAACAAAAAGCCTCAGCAGTAGTTTGCCTGCAGTCACGCCATGAGTTTGTTACAGACACAGATACCCTGAGTTCTGGTAAGTCCTTCTACCACATGACCATCTTTCCCCTGCGCTGCTAAGGTGTGGAAAAAGACAGACTGTGTATCTGCAGCTAGCTAAAATCTACCATGATTGTATTAAAACTAGGCCTAAAGCTTATAAAAGTGTCACAAAATAGAGGAAAAATTAGAGCTTTCTTCACTTCTTTTTATATCGTCTTGGTTATAAAGTGAGTTATCACTATGCTCATTTCAAGGCTGGTCAATCTTTTCTTGCTGGCCACACTTGTGAGCCGAGCTCCTGGATCATGTGTGGAGAAGTTTTCCACTGTAAGCATCCCCTTCCTGAAGTACACTGCCAGTTCTCTCACCTAGCAAGCAGGCACAGAGAAGAGGCAGGAAAGGAGGGTGAGAGGGTGAGGTCAGGATAGCAGGCATGAACCAGAGCAGCTTTCAAATCCAACCCGCATCCAGGGAGGGGAGGGATTTTTTCACGAGTCTGTGCGGTGCTGGGGTCATAATAGATCCCTCTGTCATGGGAAATAAAAAGCCTTTCACAAAAAAACCTACATTCAGAACCATACTGGATCAGGACCTTCTTAAGGGTGTTTTAACTCTTCTTCTCTCTCTGTCTTGTGGAGTCTTCCTTTGTCTGTCTTCTTTTCTAGCAGAGATGTGCACTGCCTTACATTGACCAACATGTCTACCCTAACAAGAGTGTTTGCAAGAGCTTCTGTAGGGTGAGCGTGTCTTACCAAGCAAGCAGGTGCTACCAGAGAAGCTGTGATCTTCACACATGCCCAAGTATGGCGATATCACCTGTTTGACAAGTTCTTCCAGCTGTAGGTAGCCCTCACTGGGGCCAGTAGGCTCATGGACACTCTGAAATTCAAATATGAAAAGCCAACATTACGCTTCTATAGTTCTGAATAAGGAATTTATAGAGTGTATATTATAAATAAATATACACACACACACACACACATATATATACACACACAGACACACATATATGTATATCTGTTCTTGTGTATGTATGTATGCATGACTTCTGGGAGTCAGAAGGGCTGGGGTCTCCCTCCAGGTGAGGGAATATGTCTGCACGGAGCAACACAGCACTCTACTGGTACCTGAGTCAACAGGCTGCCACTGTGACAAGGGGCAGGACAGCTGTATCGGTACAGCATTCAGAGGAGCACAGCTAACTAGCCCAAATGGACTTTTGGGCACTATTCAGGTTGACCACCATGTTCAGGTCATAGCCATACTCCTATGGATATTGAGCAGCCGTCTATCTTTTTCTGGCCAAAGGACAGGAAAGCATAAGGCATGCTCACGCTGAGAATTTACACTGTGTAACTGCAGCAGTATAATTATACCAGGGCAATTCTGCCAGGAAGTATCTCTTTGCGGACAAGCCTTAACACAGCTTGGGCAAAGCACTGCTCTCTCCCTAGATAAGACTGCAGGAAAAGCACCCTCTGAAGTTCAGCTTACACGTGTGAAGGTGGTAGATAACACTAACCAATTTAACAGTAATTTCAGAGAGTCTTCACAGACTAACTTCTTGCAAAGCCTCAATCAGTTTTTCTTTCCCATTACGGGATGTGTCACTTTGAGACCCTCTTTGCCCTCAAATTTCTTTTACTAAAATATTTCAGGGAAATTCAGCTAGTACTTTAATATCTCCTGTCATTATAGTCTGTGGTCACTGGGAACACCAGAACATTGAGAACTCATATAAAATACCAGCTTAGCCCCTTTTTGACTTTGATTGTACTTCAGAAAGCTCCATTCCCTGCCACTCGTTATAAGTTTCAGTAAAAGGGAAATAAAAGCCAGAGGAACCCAGACACCAGGAATCTAGTATTTTCTGTGGCTTGCAGGCTGGGCCATATAAAAAGATGAAACAGCTGATATACTTGGCTGTACATGCCATGACTGGAGGATAAAAACAGTGTCCTCCTGAGGTCTGGATACAAAGGACAGTCCCCCAGAAGCTCTGTGTCTCTTGGGAGAGGCCTTTGGAAGATCTACAGCATTTTGCCCACTGCCAAAAGGTATTCCTTCTCTTACAGGCTAGGCTAAGTGTCCCATCTAGCTGAGGGGGGGACAATATTAGGCAGTCAGCAATCACAGCTTGTTCGATTCCATAATTGGCTAGGAGGGAGACTCATCCTGTCATGACAAAGGTGACAAACCAGGAGACCTAGCACCTAAAGAGGCATTTAGAGAAACTGTGAGATGGCAATTTATGTGATAAAAGAGTCCTGTGACTGTTCCCAGATGGAGAGATGATATACGAAGAAAAATACAAACACCAAAGAGCAGAATCTGGTCTTTCCACGGGTAAGGACCATGCTTACCTGTTGCCAAGAAAGCTCAGAACGTTTAAGAGGCAGTTCAGCTCTCATTTCTATGTTTAACGTCCCCAAACGAGCACACAAAAATTCCTCTTCATCGCGCCCTTTACCCTTCACACTCTCCTTTCCAGGATTCCTATCGATTAGATGAGTGCAAGAATCCCAGGTGGAGTCAGACAAAGAAAAAAAAACCTCCCCACCTGCAGAATTAACAGCATCTGGACAATGGAAGCTGGGAGCTTTGCCTGGACGAGAGGCAGGATCTCTTCCAACTTCACTTTGAGCAAGACCAAGTCTCTGAAGCCAAGAAGAGCAATCTGACGGATAGTCAATTCCTGACCCTAAAAACACGGAAGGCAAAAATCCACCAGTTGGTAAAGGAACATGTGAGCACAACAGCAACACGTGTATGCACACAAAAAGGGCCCATCTTGCCAGTTGCTGCTGTGGTAAAAGCACACACCAGCTGCTCAGCTTGAGGATTCCTGGTACTGTTTATCAGTTAATCACTGTCCCACACAAATTGTGATATGAGTAACACCTCATCTGAGATGCCACTAGGCTTGAAGTGAAGCCAAAAAAGAGCCTGTATTTCACCAAAAGACTACATATTCATAAAACCCAACTGTCACCCAACGTGGTCACAAACATGTGAAGCCCAGGATGGAGGCAGCCAATGCTTTTGCCACTCTGAGCTGATAAACCACAACAGAGTTGATAGGGAAGAAGTCGGTACAGAATACTCCTTATGTAAGCCTACCTCTGGTCTGCATTAGATCCTCTTTCTGTCCAACACTTGCACTTTAGAACTTGCTGATATGATAAAAATTCACAATTCAGTCCACTGCAGATTTTAGCACTTAGGCTAGAACAAAGCTAGTTAAGACTGCTTCTAGCAACACCATTTAAAAAACAACTGGACAGAGAATGAAAGCAACAGCTTCGATTTCAACCACAAGGAGTTCTGTCTCCTCCAGATTTTATCTTTTAACATCAACACACAAGTGAGCAGGCTTAACAGATGAAGATGCTGCAGGGTTTCTCAGCATATTTTAAACACAGTTGAACTCCATTCATCATTCTGGTGTCAGTGTTACCTTTTGCTAGGCTTAATGCACCCATGGTTTCTCTTGCCCCATAGCTGCTTAAGTTAACTGCAGAAATATTCTTCCCAGCCCTGCTTCCCAGCCAGGCCAGCCCAACACTTCCCAGCTTGAAGAGTTTCTCTTGTTCTCCCCAGCGCGTTAATCTCTGCCCTATGCTCTATTTTGGAACCACTTTATAGTCTCCATAACACACTCATTGAGGCAAATATTTGGCTAGAAGGAATTAACATCAGTTAATCATTAATTCATAATGGGTTTAATGTCATAATTTACAGCATCACCAATATGTAAATAAGACCTAAAGCCAATGCTCTGGAGGCCAGCTTGGCCACAACGAAAGCACTTTGCTATTTTAAACCGTCAGTGTGTGTTTGGAAATATTAGGGTGTAGAAAAGATCAGTACAAATCTCTGAATATTTCAGCAGCTGCTCACTTTTTACTTCTATCATGCAGTTTAGTCCAACTAACTTTATAACCCAATTCAAAATGCAAAAGTATCACTGTGCCAAACAAAACAAGAAGATCTGCTATTCTTTCGCCACACCAAGTAGTTACATCAACAGCTGCAACCATACAAAAGCCAGTGACCTGTTTACATAGTTTCCCTCTGTACAGCAATTTAAGCAACTCGGCTGCTTAAAGGTCATATTTCTGCAACAACCCTAAGCCTTAGCTAAAATAGGAAGTTACTTCTAGTTACCACCATTGGTAACGTGCTCACACATTCGGCTGGCTTACTTTCATTCTGAATGGACAGTTGCTGGGATCACAGAAAAACTCAACTGAATGCTTACACTGACATTTGCAACAGAGGAGTCACAGAAGACGGGGGACCAACAAATAGACTTTCCCATCTACCACAGCAGTCCATGAGGAACTGTGACTTGGTGCGCAAGATCTGCTAGGTGATCTCGCTCTACCTTTGGTGAAGCACCATATAAATAGGTATATACAGTTCCTTATTTGTAGGAAGAGGCCAAACTTGTTACTAGGGCACTGGCCTGGGATTAGACTGATCTTGTTGATTCAGTTTCTTCCTGCACCAGTGATTATCCCTGTTGTAGCCTTAGGCAGTTTACTTAAAATCAGATTCTTAGGGGTTTTAAATCCCATAGATTTGTGTAGGACTGAGATGTTTGCAAAGCTGTACATATCCAATCTGTTACCTTTCCATTCCTTATCTGCCAAATGACAATACTTCCTTAATTTCACAGCTTCTATGAAATGCTTTTGAGTGACTCAGATATGGTGACAAGAGATATACAGTAAGAAAGAATCTCAACATCCCATAGTCACACTTTCATCACCACCACCAAGTTACTTCCAGAAGCTGCACCACCACACAGTAATCTTTGTTCAGTTTCTCATTAGAGACATAGAGCAGCAATGGAGTAGATTTTGCTGGTAAGTGGCAGAAACATTAGCATCAATGGATGTGGCAAATAGTTAGCTCAGCTGTTTCTACAGTGCACGCAAACTTGTTGCAGTGCAAATAAATCCCTACTTTATATAGATTAGGTCACTTGATGCCTGCAAATTAGTTGCAAAAGGAGAGAGTGGGGGGATATTATAATTGTGCAGTTTTACCTGTCAACCAACACCTACCTTTAAGCATCTGCAGCAAGGAAAGAATAAGAATAAATACAATGAAAAGGTTAGTGGCTGTCTTCACAGAAATCCTTTGCTCTTTTAGGAAATGTCAACTTTAATAGGATTAGAGGAAAAGGGCAACCCATGAGCTTTACCTGCTGCCTTTCAAACAATACAAGGAAAAAAATAATAATATACGGCTTCAGAAATCATACCTCCTGGAACAGGCAAAAGTCAAGAGCAGAAGGCTAACATTTTTAAGAATGTCAGTCTACTCTTGAGATATATTTTTGTTTCTCCTCTGATTGGAGAAAAGATCAAAATGGCCTGGGGGGCTATTTAGATTGTTATTATTGGTAAACCTGATCAAAACTACATGAAAGACATGAAAGACAAGTCAACACTTCTGAAAGGATATCCCATTTTCATAGTACAGCTGGTTATCAGTCTTACATAAAGTTGCTCATTCATTTTCTACCCAGATATTTACATATTACTTTATTAAAACATCGAAAACCCAACAGAGGTTTTTCCAAAGGCACAACTCAGGCATCCATTGTGCATCACATCATTCAGGCATCAGACTGCCAAGAACAGTTAGTGGGAGTTTAATATAGGTTTGTTCCTTAACTAGTCTTCAGGTTTATCCCTCTGAAGACATGCTGTCAGTGTTATCGTTTGCCCTAACACAGTATTTCAAAACCAGAAGAACTTACAATTGCAAATGCCCCAGAGCTTCTGTCTGGACAAAGTATAGTCCAATAGTTTTGGTGTTCAGGCTTAGCTAAGTACAGACAGAGGACAGGTCGACGGGAATAAACTCAGTTCAAAACACTGTGCTTGGTCCAGTAGATTCTAGGAGTCCTTCTTACACAATTAACACTGAGTGGGGCAAAATGCACTTGCTCCCAGATTTTGTTCAAAGATTTTGAGACCTGTCTACTCACCAGACAGAACAGTACTGCTGAAACAAAGGGAAGTCTCCATGTACTATTGACAGACATTGTAGATACATTGCTTGGTCTGACTGAAGACTGAATTTTAATTAAGATTACCTGGACTGGATAGAATATTGCCTGGAGTGTGGGAAGGGTCTCTGTGAAGTAGTGATCCCAAATTTCGGACAGGATATCAATGCGATCCTCACCTACAAAATCAGAGATTGGGAGTGAAGAAGTGCATTAGTAAAAGGAATAGTAAAGTCTAGTTGGATTTTCCCACTACCCCCTACTTTCCCAAGCAAGAGCTGCAAACCCACCCTTCATGTTGACAATGTCCTTCCAAAAAGGGGCCATGACTCAGCTAAGATTTGCCCTAAGTGACAGAGACACGAGGTTGTCACCAGAAATCACTGTGCTGCTTATCATGAAGAGAATAGCTCTGTGCAAAATATGAGCAATCGGTTCCAACGGAAGAGTGAAGGAAAACGCTTTATTTCTACTGCAAAGGACTGCATAATCTCGCAGCTCATTACTAAATTCACACAGGAAGATGGCCACATGATAGAAGCTGGGAATGAAAATTGGGAGGTCACAGACAGTATTGGCTGTTCTGCAGAAACTGAGTCTGGGAGGCAAATTTAAGAGCTCAGCCTTCCCCAGCCTGTGCTCCCAAGCACAGACACAGAAGCCATAACTGTTGCAGGGGTGTTCACCCACGTCTGGAAAGCCACCACAAAGCTACCATGCTCCTCTCAGAACTTCTCCTCTCATACCTGGCAATTGGGAAGGTTCCCAAGTGAAATGCCCTTGTGGCCACCCCTCATGTAAACCTGACTCCAACAAGCATACCTAAATGTTATTGGGGTTTAAAACGGAGGCAGACAAAAGTTCTGCACTTCGTGACTCCCATAACAAGAATATAACTGTGGTCAAAAGGCTAGTATTAACAAAAACGCTCTGCTGAACGTAATACTTTGGATAGACATTTTATATTATACTCATAAGATTGACTTACAGGAGCTGTGTGTGGTTCTCAGCATTCAGGCCCAAGACCTAGCTTTTCAGAGGATTTTTCCCATGCCAAAGGCCAGAGGTTTGCAATGTTTTTTTCAATTTGTGGACACCTCCCCCAAATATTTTCAGTGGAAATACAGCCCCATATTTAATAATTAAGTTTCTGACAAAATGATTTTCCAAGATATCTTTCACGGAGCCTCAGAAGTAGCTCACAAGCAGCTAAGATCCAAGGAGCAGAGATGGGAGACGGCCCAGAGCGACTTTGAAGTCTCAGCCTTAAGCTTATTAAAGCCCCCATATGAGCAACTGGCACATATATAAAACTGCAACTCAAAGGAGTCTTATCAACATACACTGAAGTGTATTCCCCATCTGGAGACTTCCAAATGGGCTTTCCTTGGGCTTGTCCGTCAGTTGTGCCTCTTGGCTTGCTTAAGACACAAGCCAGAAGGCAGAGAACCAACAGGACCAGATTCAACAAACATTCGCTTTTGATTAGAGACCCTACTAACCATGGGAGGGCCGAGAGAGAGGGTTTACCAGATCAGATACCATGCTAGCTTCAAAACTGGGACTGCAGACACAAGCACCCCACCAGAGCTACCCATTACCAGAAACTGGCAACAGTAAATGAAAAAGACAACAGGAAACAGACTGAGTTTCTGAATTTCTCTTTATTCTATTTCCTCCCTAAGACTCTAACATTTTGGTGTATAGAGCTAGAATGAAATGTCATAAAATACCCTTTCTTCTGAGAGGGAAGGGGGAATAGTTTGTTTCTTCAAGAAATTATAAATCCTATACGCATTGAAAGAGGTTCTGACAGACTGGATCAAGAAAAATGACATTAAAGTAAGAGTCTGCGAGTTGAAAAGCAGACACTGTAAAACATTGCATGCCCTGCAGCAGCAACTTTATTCCATCTTTGAATACTGGGACAGGAGCTCTCTTCCAGGAAGGCAAAGCTAACTGAGAAGCACCTAGAAGACATTCTTGTTGCTGTGACCACAAAACCTGGAACAAGGCTACACACTGCAAAAGAAAGGTGGGGGGAAAGAGCCCATGAGTCATCTACCGCAGAGGTGATGGTCTGCGTGGACAAAGTGGTTCCAGTGTCGCTTCAAACTAGGGACAAAGAAGAGTCATAGATAGGGGGTTCTGCTGTCTGCCTGGGAAACTTAATCTTTCCCAAGCTGTTTGAGCAACAGCAAGCTACTCCCAGGCAGCTCTCAGCTTATTACAGACTGGAACTCAATTTTCATAATGCTAAGATAGATATTGGAATGGTTTTATATGACTACACATAACAGAAAACAAAACCTATGATAAGCCGCTCAGTGCTTGTTCTGAAGAACTGGCAGAGGCAGCTGGATACCCTTGTTCAGGATACTGTGCATCTGCTAGACGCCTTCCTTTCTCCCTACAGGGACTGTGCCAAGGAAGTGCACAGCAAGTCATCACAAGGTTGTCCCCTTGAAGCAGGAGGCTGGCACACAGCACAGCTACTTCAAGTGTCCACGTCCCACAGCCTGCTGGCCCGACGGAGAAGTCACTTGATGAGCAGTGTGGAGTGCTTGCACAGTGTGGAGGGATCCAGCACCGACAATGATGCAAGATTAGAAGCGTCTATTGCGATTTAATGACCCAGATACAGCAGACTGTTGACTAGCGAGGAATCTTCCCTACAGGCTACAAAACTGGGTCAAATCAAATGGCAGCCTAGTTTTGAATAAAGACACGTGTGCTAGACAACTCTCTCTGCTTGAGCAAACCATTAATAAAGGTGGCTAACTCCCACACATCAAACCCTGAGAGTCACTGCCCCAAACTAGCCTTCTTTCACAGGCTCCTCGGGGAGCAAGTGTCTGTATCCCAGCGGTTTGAGCAGAACTTCATGTGTGACGAACTTCTTTCCTGAAGGGTTTCATTCCCATCCAAGCGAACGCTTATTCTTTATGTTTACACAAAGCCTGCTAGTTTAGCTCTCAAAAGCACAACGACAGAGTATCACTGTAGTCAGAGTCATGCTTACAAGACTCCAAAAAGCCAGACTGCAGACCTCCAAATCATCTTGAGAAATAAAAGGCAGAAGGCTCTCAGCATTGTTTCAAAATAGGATTCATATCAAACCTGAAACTGTTTTGAACTCGTGCTGAAAGTCCATACAAAATCCACACTCCTGCTCTTGCGGTGAAGACACACCTGGTGGGCATGTTTCAGCTATGCTGCTATTCAAACAGGCCACCATCCCTTAAGCAGTACCAGGCTGCACTGCAACCTGGCTCCCAACAGGCTGAGTGATGCTCTAGGACAGTACCAAAAAAAAGACCTCAGAGATGGCAAATTGTCTAAACTGAGCAGAAAGGGCTGTATGTTTTCCAGCCACGTGAATCATCACATCTGGCCAAACATCAAAGCATGACTCAAAGGCGCCCTCCAGCACCCCATTCCAAAATGCATTTCTTACTATACTTGCCTTCACACAGCTTAACCTTCTCCTCTATAAACAGCAAGCCCTTCGCAAGGAGCTGGTTCTGCCAAGAGAGAAGAGAGACATGCATTTGCCTTTTCCAAGATTTAAAACAAACATGGGAGAATATGAGTTCTTTCTGATGTTACCCACTTTACATGCAGGCATCTAAAGATTAGTCATGTCACAGTTGTTCCCAGCACTGCCACCAGACCTGATCTCACTGTGAGTTTTGCACATTTCATTAACCCTCTCTTATCTGACCAGACATGAGAAACCAACAGGTACATTAGATAGTTGAAACACTTCCCAGAACTGGATTTCACCATATGGAGAGGAAGAATAAACTTGTCCTGGTCATAGGGAGGGAGTCAGGAAAATAAGATTTTTTTTTTTTTTAACCTAAAACTGCAGCCACATAAGCTATACCTGAGCCATACGGTGGAGGTGGATTAAAGAGCCAAATACTGCCAGAACGTCCCACTCTGCTCTTCCTTTGCACTAGCGCAGAGCTGGCCTGACTGCACAATAAGTCAATTCAGCTCCCTAACCTGAGAACAACATATTCTCTTTTCATCTGGCTATTTTTCACTATATTAACCAATTGAATCATCTCAGTGTGCAGTTTCAAGCCGTACGAGAAAGGCAGGAGCTGCAGTCTTTCTGGATAATCTTAACCATCACAGACCAGACAGACCAAGATACTGAATGTGCCCATTTGCAACTCTGGACATCTAAGTATCTGATAATTGACCCATAGACTTTCTGCTCCTGTCTCCCCAAATGTAAAAACAGTGTTTACAATACTTACCTTTTTCTTCTCCCAAGAGCACTAGGAGAATCAGTTATTCTGAAAAGCTTTGAGAATCTCAGAAAAAGGAGTTGCAGAGAGGTAATGCAGTATTACTGCATCCCAGAAGGTTCAGTCCTACCATAGAGATCACACTGATAGCGAAAAAAGCTTCTGTTCCTTTGAAAGGATTCAACATCAGGGTAGCACACAATATTCAGAGGCCTCTCTCTCATGTTTATCCTCCCAGCTTTTGTGTTTAATGGATAACCACACCAAAGTTGCACCTTTCAACCCTTCCATTGGCCAAGAAGAAAGGCACATTGCTCCCAGCAAACACTGCCTGTACAGCAAGCTGCTGCCCCAGCATGGCCTCCTGATGAGCTGACATACCACAAACCTGCCCTTACACTGGTGCTCTGAATGTCAGACCTGCCTCCTGCTGTAGCCATGTAGCAAGCTGGTTTGTTCATGATATAGGCAAACAGGTATCAGCATGAGTCAGCCTAAGCCAAGAGAGCAGCTCACCTCAGCATCCTCTCAAGAACAAGAAACATTAAACTGTGGTACTCTGGGAGGAATTTAAAAGAGGAAAATAGACACTGCTTTGTGATATTCTTCACTTGTACTTCACTCTCTAGAGCAGGAGAAAAGCCTGCCGCTCAACAGTCTTACCTGTTATCATCGGACATCTTTCAAACGTGTAGGAAAGGAAGGGCTCTTCTTTAAAAAGTATCTAATCAAATAGATACCAAAAGGCTTCTGCAAGCAGGTCAAGGCTAAGGGACTGAAGAGACCCCCATACATCCTATCGGCAAGGAAATGCCGCTGGATGCATTGTACTGCTGGAGAATTTTAACACTCTCAAAACTGTCAGGTAGGAAAATACTTAAATTAATAAAATTAGAAATTGAATGCAAGACATTCCCTTCACTTTGGATTCTCATCTCATTAAAGCTGAGTACCGAGAAACTTCAGTGATGGGTGCCATCGGAAATTTTTCCAGTGTCACATTTTCAAGATTTCAACAAAAAGGGCTTGGAAGAAAGAATAAGCTGTACATGCTCACCAACTACCTCTCATGTTTTTTAAGGGGGGGAACGTCCATGAAAAAGGATCTCAAGTCGAGATAAAACTTGCTCTAAAGAATATAAACACCATCAGGAAGCTCTGTTAACAGACCCGTTTCAGACAACAGGCACACACGTAGGAGATGCTAAGGCAGGTTACCCGTGCCTCCACGCAACGAGGTCCTGTTGGCTGCTCTCTTGTCATATGGAAAGGCATTTCCACACCATATGAACAGTGTCTTCTTCACGGCAAGACAGACGTGTCGTGCTACACAACTCTAGGAAATGGGTACCTCTCCTTGGCTTATGTCCCATCTCACGGCCACTTCATTCACATTAAGGCTGCATCCAGCTCATGCTTAGCTACCATGCCTTACTTGTCTTGAATGGGATAGATGTAAATACTTTTGGAATACTGCTTAAAAAAAAAAAAAAAAGCAGCAACCCCTAATATATATCCAGAAGTTCAATCACGACCTACAGGCCATCCAATTCATCAGTGGTTAAATGCTGTTACTAGCAATACTGGTTAAATATTACATAGTGCATGCATGAAAAAAATAATTAATAGTCATGCTTGGTTTAAGCTGATTTAGCCTTCCTAGCAGGAGTAGCTTTTTTCAGACTTTAAAACCAAAAATAGTTAGAATGGTCTTACTCCCAGAGTAATCTAGAATTTAGGGCCCTTTAAAATCAGTTACACAATAAAAACAGACCATTTCAGGGGCAATGCGCAGAATGAAACTGTATTTGAATTGCACACCCAAGTCACAAGCGCTAGCATTGTGTGATACAGTCAAACTATAAACAGTTCTCACACTCTACTATCCACCAGTCCTAGGAATTTCAGCTCAGGAATCAGAACTGACACACAGTCCTGTTTGGCACAGGAACATGCTAAAAATGACATTTTACACCTGGGTGACCATGTGGGGAAATAGGAGTCCAGAGGACTTTTGCATGTTACCTTCTGAACTTGCTCACAAATGGCGCACAAATGACTCTCATTAACTGCAGTTTAAAAGCTGTGGATGCAAGCAGGTGAAAACCAGAGTACTCTGGCAGCACTACAGACAGCAAAATAGCTGCTTGCAGGCCTCACGTAGTGTGTGGCTTTCAGTTTAGGGGGAGCACACTCTGATCTTGGCTGATGCTTTACACTGCACCGGTGCCCCAGGGCTTGCACCAGTGGGGAACTGCCAGCACAACATGCATATGTACACCCCGGGCCGGGCTGCTCCCCTCCTACCCTCCCACCACCTGCAGTGTCCGGCCCACTCACAGCAGCTTATTCAGTTGTAACTGAAAAGCCACGAATTTCTTCTGAAAAAAAGTCCACTTTCTGCATTTTTTTGAACCCTGGATTTTCCCCTCAATAAAGTGATTCTTTTTTTTTTTCTTCTTCTGGAGAAGCCTATTTTCTGATTTATTCATCTCTACCAACACGATTAGGGGCTGCCAAAGGGAAGTGCAGGGAGCAAAGAGAACTCGTGAGCAAGAAAATTCTCATCTGGGCACTGGCTGGGGGACCTAGTCTACAGCTCGCTCTTTGGCTAGAGTTACGGTTCAGTTTTGAGTTCAGATTCGGGTTGAGAGGAAGCCCAGAACTGCTGCTGGAGCGGCAGTGAAAGGGGGCTGCCAAAGGAAGGGGCAAGCTGCAAAAAGAACTTGGCTGGGAGACATTTTTCGTCTGGGCAATGGCAACAGTAATTAGCAACAGTAGGATAAGTTCATTCATATGATGAAAAATTTGCAGTGTTTCCAAACATTGTTATCAACCACTGAAAAGCGATTAACTTTCAAAGCTTCTCTAGCAGAAATAGAGGCTTTGGAGAGAGACACTAAGTTGTCTAGACCTACATTCATATTTTAGATTTGTTCAGCAGAAGAAAAATGACTACACTTGTCAGGTTCTGGCCAAAAAATCTGAAAACTTTCAAGAAAAGAAGAAAATGTGAAAAAGGAGAAGGGGGAAGAAACCTGGAATGGAAAAAAATTATGGGAAAAAAAACAAAAAAACAAACTCACTTATACTGTAAATATTTTTCTATCTGAACAATAAGATAATGCTGCATGTCAGTCCTTCCATATGCTTTCTGTTTATTAATAAAGTATTTCAATTTGTTATATTTCAACCTACAGCATGAGGTACTCACAGTTCTTATATACCGTAGGGCAAATTTACAGCTGGTCTTTAATACTGTGTCATTTTAAACTATTCTGTAATCAAAAATATATGTACAAATATGAGGATGTCACACTTTTTCTTCTGTTTCTCTCGAGAAATATGAACTCCTCCTCTATCTGCACTAGCACATTAGGTTTCAGTTTACATATTCTTTATCAGTGTTGTGGATATAATTTTCCACTTTACTTATAAGTTAGTATTATTAATGCTTTCTACTTTCAGAGATCTTTTCTGTCTTTAAGCTATGTCAGGAAACAAAATATGAATTTACACACCTTATTGGGCAGCATACTCCTATCTATTAAAAACTAGATCTATTTATCATTATCCTCAAATAAAGAATTTATAAGGCTTTTATGAACTAATCCATCAGTATTTCCACATGCTAAATAGACTCTCATTCTTAAGATTTCTTAAAAAGGTTTAGTTCCAAAAGCATATAGCTACTGCAGATGTTTCAATTATCCCCTCAAATTTCCACTTTCTCTAGGAGAGAGAGACGCTTAACAAGAATACCACCACCGCCGCCACCCACTTAATTTCCCTTCTGCTTACCTTGAACATTTCTGGAAATTCTACTTATCTGCCTTTTCTGTTAAAGACATAGGCTTAGATAGGGATTCAATCCAAACATCACCGCCTCAGATCAAGCAAGTCAGGTGTGTTTGCATTAAAAAAATCCTACACTGTTTGGTGACAAATCAATACAATCTAATAAATGCAGCCACAGTGGAGGTTTGCATCAGACCTTGTCTAGCTTACCCATCTCATTGCTGCTTTATTCCTGGCTGCCATAGGCAACATAGGGGGGCACAGTCAGCCAAGACGAAAAATAAATATTATATCTACAAGCAGGACCAGATACAGACCTATACTAGGTGAGCCTGAAGGACACATTTACATGAAAAAGTTAAGCTGCCACCTTCTGTCTCTTTGCAATTACAGCCTGAACTCTGTGTTTGGGTAGCAATTACTCCCCTCTCCTTCCTGGAGCAGCTTTTCCTGGCTCCCAAAGT